GTCACAACAAGGAACCAGTCCTTGGAGAGGAACATCATGCTTGGAAGGTAGAGGGACAGCACAAGAGAGGAAGACCCTTGATGAGATGGATTGATTCAGTGACTGGGGTAATGAGGGTAGGTGTGTCAGAGACAATAAGGTTCGCACAGGATAGAGCAGTTTTTAGGGCTGTTGTATATAGGGTCACTATGAGTCACAAGTGACTTGACAGTACGTAACAACAACACTAAACTAAACAACAACCCAAAACTAAATCTATTGCAAATTGAGTTTGACTCATGCTGACCCTCCATTGGGTTTCTGAGGTGTAAATATTTCCAGGAGAAGGTTTCTCTCTTTTCCCCTCAGAGCAGTCGGTTAGTTTGGACCACCAACATTTTTCTTAATAGAGAAGCTCTGGTATGTTCACACAATGGAATACTATACAGCACTGAAAACAAGGAACTCGTAAAAGATTATGCAAAATGGATGACCCTGAAGGACATTATACTGAGTGAATTATCTCAGTCACAAAAGGACAAATATTGCATAGGGCCACTGTTGTAAAACAGGACTGACATCAGGGTTGAGGGAAGACAGGAAAGGAGGGGAGGAATGATGTATATTGCATTGAAACAGATGAGGTAGAGAACTATTTAATAGTGACATATGAATGGGTATTCTTGTCATTACCGAAGTCCAGAGTGAAGGCTGCACAGTGGAGTGGACCTGGGTGGTGGGGGAAGGGATTGAATAACAATGAAAGAGTTTTTCTTTCTTTACAAGGAGAAGAGTGAATTGGGGGAGAAGGGGTGGGGAGGGAGAAAAGTGCAACAATGAATGACTGGAAACCCTAAGTCTCTGTAAACTTTCATTAAAATTAATTAAAAAAAATTCTAGCACATTATTACCAACTCAACAAACTTGACTCAAAACCATCAAGCAGAATTGACTCATAACTGACTCTCCAGTTGATTTTCAGAGGCTGTAAATCCCGTGGAATGAGATTGCACATCACTCACTTGAAGAATCAGTGGTGGATTCGAACTGTCAGAGAGGCATCAGCTTTGTGTTAGGAGTGCAACTCCCTCCAGTCTAGTCCACCAGAACTCTGGGCTATGTACCACCAGGCTCCTTAGTACTTCATCAGGGCCAATTATTCCACGAGGCAAGACTGAAAGTGACTTTATTGGTGGCTTAGTAATAAGGAATTATGCTACAATCACAAAGGTGGCTCTTGTTGGTGTTAGGTGCCATGAAGTCGACCTTCCTCCAGAACTGCCAAAGAGAGAAAGGCTGCCCTTTGAGGTGGTACCTGGGACTTAGACATGGAGCCTCTGAAACTGAAAGACTTACCTGTTAAGTTTTTATATTGAGGAATTAATCTGCATATTGCTAATTACATTGTAGGGTGGATATCTGTATTCTTGCTTATTTAACACAAAGTTAAGTGGTTCAGATTTGCTAAGTACCCCACAGGAGAAAGATGGGTCATTTCTTTCAGTAAATTTCCAGGACCATTTACTGCCTCTAAAAACTCACTGGAAGGTCAGCTATGAATCAATTCCAACTTGATTGTAGTTAAAAACAAGAAGAAGAAATAGAGACAAGACTACTGTTAGGTGCCCTCAAGTCAATCACGACTCATAGCAACTCTGTGAACAATAGATCTGAATCCTGACTTATCCTGTGCCATCCTCACAGTTCTTGACAGACTAAAGGCCATTTCTGCAGTTACTGTGTCAATTCACCTGGTTGAGGATCTTTCTTTTATGCTAGTCTTCCACTATTCCAAGCATGATGTCCTTCTCCAAGGAATAACCACTACTAGAAATATGTACAATGTATGTGATATGCA